ACAGTTTTTAGGTGATGAAAAGGTCTAGGTATGGTCACGAAGGCTGTGGTTGAGAAAAGGGGAAGTAAAGACTGCTGGTGGTGGTGGGGAGGCTAAAGACTGGATGGCAAGGCATGGGATGGGAGAGGAGTCAACACAAGGTGCTGGTGATGTAAGTGAGAAGTCTGATAGTATTAGCCCCAAAGGATAATGGGATTTTAGATGATGGAGATAAGTACTATGGGAATAAGAATGAAGAGTTAAGATAGAACAGAGTTCAAATTTCAGCCATAGAACTATGGTCAACTGAAAATTTCCCTAAGCCTCCGTTTTCTCCTCAATGAAAAGAGGCTAGTACATACCTCTAGTGGGTTATTAGTGATGATTAAAGAAAGTGCTTATAAATGTTTAGCACCGTGCCTGGCCCAAGAACTTAACTGTTATTTAAGATGACAGGAATACTAAATCTTTGTGAAAATATGTAGGAAGAATTATGGGAAGAATGAGGATGGTTTATAGAGCAGGTTTGGGATGAAAATGGGAAGAAATGTGAGCAACTTGGATTTGGTTTGGAGAGAATTCCAAAGGTTGCCTGACCTTTAGATTTGGAATGGAATTCTGATACCTGGGTCTTAACTCTCTTAGTAGCCTCGGATTTGTTTTGATAGTGGTTTCTTTACTTCTTTCCCCTCTGTCAAGTCTGTATTTATGTAGCCAAATACACAACAAATGCACAAAATTAAATGAACAAATTAAAAAAATTTCTAAGAATGAGGAATGTTCCTTTTTCATTAACTTATTTTTATGGCAGAAATTTTATGAATATTTCAATTTAGTCTTAAAAAATTTGATTTTGAAACAATCTTAGATTTATAGAAGGGTTGCGAAAAGAGCACTGACAATTCTTGGATACCCTTCACCCAACTTCCTCAAATGTCAACATCTTCTGTAACTTGAATGCATTTATTAAAACTGAGACATTAACAATGGTACAATACTAAATTACTGAGGTTTTGCCAGTTTTTCTAACTCATGCTTTTTCTCTTCTAGGATCCAATCCAGGATCACACCTTGAGTTCGGATTAACATGTATCCTTAGTCTCCAGTGACATTACCTTATCTTTCATGACCTTGATACTTGAGAAGAATCCTTATTTTGTAGAGTGCCCCTCAATTAAGGTTTCTTTCCTGCAGTATTTTTTCTGCTTCTAAAATCTATCCTTAGTTCCAGTCAGATTCATGTAGTAAAATAGCACAGTGGTTCAATTAAGGTATAGTTTTTAATTAGAAAGTAATTAACTAAAGGAAAAGTAGTTCTTGATGTTGCAACTCCCAGTTTCCCCAGGCAAAACTGTTTCAACATGTATATGAAGGTAGCACTATAAATGAGTTACTTTATAATGTATATTAAGATATTAATAGAACATTAATCACAATACTCTTCACAGTTTTGATTTGATGACTGCTTAAGTATTTTTGAGATCTATTCAGCTAAATAGCCAACTAATAAATATCTGTAAGTGGGAAAACTATCTCCTATCCACTAAGTATTAGCCTCAAATTACTCATCTTGTCTTTTGCAATTACATTTTTATGTATTTCCTGTTCAGTCCTTTGATTTACAATTTTTAATGAATTACATACAAATATCTCAGCACATTGATACATTGAAGTAAACCACATTTCAGGGTTTCCTTAAAATCTGTACCTGCAGTATCATTTTGTACCTATGCAGTGTAGTAGATGTCCCAACCTATGTTTGAATGGAAGAATTGGTTAATACAGTGGTTTGTATTGCTTGTTGAGGCCATACATATGAGTTTCTGTATTATTTAGTTCCGCTTAGAAATAAACCTTTTTATACAGTAAGTTATTTTCAAAAGGTATAGTGGGTGCTGTTGGTGCCCCTGCAAGACCCCCTTTACCAGGCTGGTGCATGCAAACCCCAGGTGATAGGTATTGGTTTCTGGTGGCTCACAGCTGCCCTATCTGGAGATTTGGCCTCTGGGAACTAGGATCCTGTAGCTAATGGGCTGACTGATTTGGAGGTGTCCAACTGCCCTCTCCCTCTAGGTAGTACTGGTAGCAATGCAATTCAGGCTGAAGTAGTACTCTAGCTGAGGCAACATTTTCCAATGTCTCTCTCCCCTGCTCTGTCGTCGTCTTTTTTTTTTTTCCCCCCCATTCCCTTTCCTGAGTGTATCCCCTCCCTTAGTCTTCTGCACTAGAATCCCTGTCTTATACTCTACCTCTAGGGAACCTGACCTAAGACAGTAGAGATACTATATGATCATTTTAAGTAGATGTAAACTGAGTAACATAAAAATTGATAACTTGCTTTCAAGAGACATATCTATTATAATTACCTGGAAATTACTGGGAATCTGGGCTCCAGTTTCTTGAGTTTCAAATAGCCAGCTATCCCTGAAAAGTCATCCGATTTCTGTGAGCCTGTATTTTCTGTTCTTTAATTCATGGAGTTTAGATGATGTGATACTCAAATTCTCACGTTGAAGATTTTCCCTTAAGGCAGGGGTTATTAGATGACGATGCTAGGCTCCTCCTGATACCCCCTCCCCCCACTCCAGTTTCTTGGATAGCCTTCAGAGATGCTTAGCTTATTAGCTCCTCTGGAATTAAACAATAGAGAATGACCATGTGTGAGTTACATGCGTAACGAAAAGGGTCCGTGGTACTGTGTAGCTGATTCCAAACTTCTTAGTGTCCTTTCTTCTTGTTTCCTTTTTGCTTTTAAACTGATACTGTCATGAGCGAGTGCTGTGTTTAGACAAGAGAGGTGGGATAAGGCAGAGGAAGGAGGTTGGGAGAACTCTGGGTTTCTTCCTTAATTCCAAATATGCCACTTTTGTGTATGAGCTCCTGTCATCTTGAATATCCCTTTCCAAAAAGAAAGCAGATTTTCTAGTTTTTTTCATATTCTGTATTTACTACATATTTTAATTTGCTGGTTAAAGAGGCTGGGTCATGTTTGGCCATTGGACAGAAAAAAAATACCGTTAATAATTTAATACAGAGGTTCTCAGTACTCTTACATCCCTTGCCTTTTTAGAACAACTACTCCGTTACTTTCCCCGTAACTTCCCCCATTACTTTTTTCTAGTGAAATTCTTTATAGGTAATAGAAGCTATCTACACTCATAATTTAAAAAATCCACTTAATGCCTTACTTGTACTGTATGGAACAGCCACATACATTTCAGTATAAGCAGCTGGCCATGACTGCTCAGGAAAGTACAATAAAGTCATTCTTGAATCTTTGCCTCATGTGAGTACAACAGCTTTGGTGCCAGTTGACATAGCTGTGCTATTCTGGTGATTCAGATACCACCACCAATGTTTTCCTGGGATACCCAAAATTCAAAAATAGAGCAGAATTGATGGTAAAGCTTATTTAAAACAAAAACAAAAAGCCCAGTGTAACTATAACTTGCAGAGTAGTTGGATTCTTAGAAAAATTAATGTGTATTAAAACCACACAATGCAAAGTATTTAATCAGTAACAATTTACATCTTCATTCCATTTTACATTTAATTCTATTGAATTAGTCAAGGCTTAGGAGTTTTTTAAATTTTATTTTTTTTAGGATTTGTGCATCTCTCTGTGGGACACAGGACAGTTTCTTATTGGGTAGGATTAAGAATGCCTAACACACCTTAATAAATGCTGGGAGCATCATCTCAGTCATTGACAACCAAAATATCCCAAGACAATTTTAAAATCCTAAGTGGTGGTTAGGCCTATTGAGAGTTCCTGGCTTAAAGAAAAAAAAAGGGGGGGGGGTAACAAAACGATTATTCACATAATAGGATATTTCTAACCTGAACAGCCAGGAGTGACATTACTAATTACTACCTTTTATTAGTATCAAGGGAACAACTTCTAAAATCTTAAATATTTATATCAAGGTAAAATGAAGGAAATTTTGACTTAAGTGCTTGAAGGGATTAGTAGTCAAAAACTGAGTCAGCTAAAGGCATAAACTACAGTGTCTTATGAATTGTAGCACTCTTATAAAACTTAGAATAAATGTAACCTGCTGGGCTCCACAGGTGATCCAAAGTTTTGATTTTTATACACCTGTTTCTGAGTAGCTGTGGAGTTGGTATACATTCAAGTGTGTTATATTGCATATCACAAATGACCAAGGGCTAATATTTGAGGAAATCCATTTGAGCTGCCCTTCAGTCATTTTTGTCTCCCCTGTAGGCTCCTTTTCCTTTGCCAGAGGAGCCTCTAAATCAACTTAACTGGTAGCAATTTCCACATTTAAGTGGATATTCTTGACTTGTATTTTTAGTTAGAATGAGACCTGTAGCAAGATCTAGGTTACTTAGACCTTTATTTTGATTGGTGCTGTTGAGCAATGTTAGATTTTTGGGTGGTACCTCTTTTTATGAGTGCAACTTTTAGGTGGTATAGAACACAGAATAAGTAGCTAAAGGATATTTTTGATACGGGTAGAGAAGAGACAACTATAGAATGCTTTGCCTTTTGCTAGGATCTATATCACGTATTTGATCATAGGAGCTTATAGCTACACCATCTGGAAAGTGGTTGGCTTATTTACCTTTTAATTTTTATGATACATGGAGCAGCTCTTTCAGAAATAGTGCAAGATAGCTTCAGGTACAGCTGTTGGTTAAAAAAAAAAAAAAGAAACACCTCTAGGGGTGTGTGTGTGTGTGTGTATTGTTAATCTGGATGACCTTATGAAAGGCAGAAATCTAAGTGTCTATCTGTAGTGGTGAGAATGTAATTTTACTAGCCCACTGTGAATTTAAAAAGATTTTCTGGTAAATGTTTTACCTGTTAAAATGATCTAGAACATGTTTTTGTCTGTATCTCCTGCTCTTTCTTTTCTCCAGGCAGAACTACACGTAAATCATTCCAAAACAATTAATGCTGCTTTATTCACAAATTGATTTTTCTGTTCCTAGGGTATGTAGAATTGCTGCTCTACTTAGATTCTAAAATGAGGCTTTTTAATTGTGTTTTCCAGGAAGATATGAATTTAAATGAAGACAAGAAGGCACCATTGCGGGAAAAGGACTTCAGCATCAAAAAAGAAATGGTGTTGCAGTACATTAATACTGCTTCCAAGACAGTAAGTAAAACTGTCAAGTTGAAAAATACTGCTGCACTGTGTGTGATAGTGTGGAAAACAATGCATTTGTCTAACGAAGTGCTTGTTTTTGGGCAACTGGAATCACAGGGCTTTTGAATGTATAAAGGCCACAAGTAGGATGTTTATTTAATTTAAAAATATTTCTCATACCTTCTAAAACTACTTTTGCTTTTTAGCCCCTGACATTGATGAGGAACACGGACTGGGTTGGTTTCCTCCAAGACTTCTTTCCTTGTTAGTGAATTAAGATGGCTATTGATCTCTGATGTCACTTATAAATTGGGATAATATTGGTATTACTGAAAAGTAAGACATTTTACTCTACCTAAATCAGTTCATGTAATAGTGGCTGAGAGGCCTATCTTTACTGTGAGTTTCCCTACAGATAAAATGATCTCGTAACAAATTATAAATGTAGATGTTGAAAGGAGCATTAGGACTCCACGTGGCTGCCAGTTTTCCAAAGAAACATGAAATATGTGGGTGGAAGTAATGAGTAAATGTCTAAGAAACCATGAATGGCACACAGAATCAATTACATTTATTTCATGGGACAACAGGTGAACTTGACCAGTCCTATAGAAATTGAACTCATGGACTGGATGAAATCTACAAAATGGGAGCTAATGAAGAAGCAATCAGAAAGACAGTAGAAAATGAATTTAAAATAGAATTGGGTTGGAGAAAAACAACTAATACACTGCAGTTTTCACTGGATACTTTAAAGACCAAAATGTACGAAAATGTAAGTTACTTATACTTAAGCTCCATTTATCTACTAGACCAGTCAGTGACTTGGAGGCTTTTCTTTTGGAAGACAGACTCAAGTGATGTTTAATTTTTAAATATGCCTCGTGTTAGGCAGTTTGATGTTGAGTTTTAGAAGTCACTGAGTACTGTACTTTTTCTGGCTCCTTATGTAGATGGGCTTTTCTGCTATTGCTTTTTGACCCTAATGCTTCCTGGATATCACAAATGAGCATTAGGGACTTAAGAGTCCGAGTGCTTGTGTTGTGGATCAACTTATCCCTTTGATATTGAGCATCTTATTTTACCTCTGTGATTCTCAACGTCCTCATTCCTAAGATGGGACTAATATTTATATCCTAGCCTTGTTGTTAGAATTTGTTTATGGAGCGCCTGGCTGGCTCAGTTGGTTAAGTGTCTGCCTTTGGCTCAGGTCATGATCCTGGGGTCCTGGGATCGAGTCCCATGGGCTCCCTGCTTGGCAGGGAG